CTCTGCCTCACCCACTCTCTTCACACCTCTAGTAAACTCCGCTCCTTCCCTCTTCTTCCCTTCCTTCCATCCTCCTTCCTTCTTCCTTCCTTTATTCCTTTCTTCCTGGGCTGGGACTAGAACCCAGGACTTCATGCATACTAGTCAAGTACTCTATCACTCACTACACCATCCCCAGCTCTTATTTTGTTACGTGATACAGTGTCACTAAGTTACTCAGGCTGGCTTTGAAATTGCTTCTAGCAGTTTCAGACCGGAGCCTCAGACTGGTGGCCCATCCCACCTCGTCTTGTAGATGGGACCATAGCCTGCACCAGCACACTCAACTCCTTTCCTGGTTTTTACGTCAATCAGAAGCAAAGGGTCCCTTTACTTGATTCATAGCCTGATCATTATATTAAGCCCACTTTAAAAAAGAAACTGACCCTGGGAAGCCGCCTAATTTTCACAGCAACAGACCAGAAAAAAAAAAATCCCCTGCGCTTTCCCTTTCCCAAAGAACTTAGCCGGAGCAAACCCGGCCTGAACGCTTCTCCCTGGAATCCCAAGGCCAGCCCTTTGGATCAGCGGTTCTCAACCTTCCTAATGCTGCGGCCCTTTACTGCATTTCCACACGTTGTGGTGACCCCAACCATAAAATTATCTTCATTGCTACTTCATGACTGTAATTCTGCTGCTGTTGTGAATCATAACATAAACAAATGATGTGCAGGATATGCAGCCACCGAAGGGGTCGAGACCCACAGGTTGAGAGCCACTGTTCTAGATGCTTGTTCTCACACTCTGCCTGGACTTGAACTGACCATCTCCCCAACACACACGTACACACATAAACACACACACACACACACACACACACACACACACATGCACACACATATGCTTCAGCATCTCCTGTGTGCAGATGTCCCCATTAGTCACAGTCTTCTGGGGGCTTTCAGATTACCTGGGGAGGAGCAGACTCAGCCGTGTGGTGCTCTGCTTGTCCAGGTCATCTGATGAGTCAGCTGGGGCCCCGGCCTACTGGTGTGTGGGTGATGCCAGAAATGATCATTCGCAGGGCGGCCAGCCTCCTGCCGGCCAGACTGTTCTAGAAGGCGCTTGACTCAGCAAGGGTGGGCATTTCGGAGGAGGGAAGCTGTCTACCTTCGTCCACTTGTGTGAGCAGCTCCAGGACATGTTCCGAGGTGACAGGAAGCACAGGGCAGTGCAGGCAGGATGGGAGACGTGGGGCTGAGGAGGCACAGAAATGAGCTGGCACTGGAGGCTGGGGAGGGAGTAACTGCCTGTTCTTCCCTCTGGAGAATGAAGACAGATCTGCTCTGAGGCTGGCCAGCTGTGGGCATCGGAAGAGCAAGCTAGGGAAATGGTAATTTTTAAAAGAAGCTGATCTTTGCTCATTCGTAACTCCCAATTCTGTCCTCCCCGTGAATCTGCTGCTTCACAGTCCCAATGGGAAGCAGGAACCTGAGGGACAGAGTTCAGAAGACAGCCCCAAGGGGTCTGATCACATTGGAACTAATATATATGGGGGCCTGGTGCTCCCCCAAGGCCTACGGGAGGAAAGAGAGGCTAATAAGAGCTGACAGCTTTGGTAAGACGAGGCAGAGCATCTTCCCAAGTCTGATATAGGAAAATGCAATGAACCCATTGTCACTGAGCTAAGCATAAAGTCTGCCTTTAGGCAAAACGCCAAAACAAACAAGCAAGCAAACAAGAAAATCTAAAACCACAGGAGACTGGAAATGAAGAGAAAGAGCAAACAGAGCCTGTTGAGGACAGAGAACTTCTGGCCTTGTCTCTGAAACCCGCCCATGTGGGAAGGGATTTCTGTGGGCATGAAAGATGGTCATTAGCAGAATACTCCAAATCAGCATTCCAGAAGCGTTTACCACACCAGTCCCAGGAAGCTTCTGGAAGATGATATGTGTGTCATTTGTAAGGTCGTTGCCAGGTGTCATGTGCAGCACAGCAAATGCCCCTGCTCCTGCCAAAGCCAGGTCAAAGGAGGCACAGAGCAGCCAGAGGATGAGTTTCTTTGCCTTTTCTTTCTTTCCTTTTCCTTTTTCTTTTCTTTTCTTTCTTTCTTTCTTTCTCTTTTTTTTTTTTTAGGAGTGGGGTAAGGTGTGCTTCAAGACAGGGTTTCTTTGTGTAACAGCCCTAGTCATTCTGGAACTCACTTTGTAAACCAGGCTGGCTGCAAACTCACAAAAGATTCTCCTGCCTCTCTTTCTGAAGCGCTAAGATTAAAGGCATGCGCCACCATGTCCAGCTTGCCTTTCAAATCTAGAATTTTCTTATGAAAGGCAAGGCCAGAAGAGCCTCACCTGTGCCTCTACCATCTGTTCTGCTGCTCTGAGAAGCTGGGAGTAAGAGCCGTGCTCCTTCCTCTCTCCACAAGGTGAGGCACAAGTCAATGGGGAGCGTAATTCACTCAGGAGCTAGGGTGCCACTGAGGGACAGAATGCTTGCTTAGCATGTGCAGGCTCTGGGTTCAGTTCTTAGCATTACAGAATATTGAGGCAGCAAGAGGCACAAGCTATTGCTTGGGCATCTGCAAACAGGGATTGTGGGATAGAAACAGGGAGACAGGACCGCTGAGTAGGGTTACCCGGAGCCAGAGGCCTCCAGCTAGAGATCATAACACAGGTAATTCATAGTGCCGCAGGAGGTGTGGGGCATGAGAGCAATTTGGGATTGACTTTGTAGTAACCTGTCACCACAGCCTGGCTGGCCTCCAGGGAGTCAGAGCTGATGGCCAGCTGACAGCAGCTTTAGCGGCAGCCCTCTTCTTCCCTGGAGGGAGTGGCAAGAGGTTTGGAACATCATTGTTGAGTGAAACGGTTTAAGGATCTGAACTCCCATAGAGTCCTGGCTGGGCCATTTGGAAATGGAATGAACGTAATCAGTTTGCAGCACCTGAGTTCTCTGGTCTGTGAGATGGAACGGACAAAACTAATCACAATGAAAACTCGGGCATAAGCTCTAAGGATACAGTAAACATGAAAAACGTAACAGGAAGCTGTGCAGGTGGTGGCGCACGCCTTTGATCCCAGCCCTCTGGAGGCAGAGGCAGGCGGATCATGAATCCCTGCCTAGCTTGGACTCCTTAGAAGGCCCTGTCTCAGAAACCAAGTGAAAGGGTATCTGAATAGTAACAGCCACCGGCATCTGTTTGGCGTTCATTACTGAGTGCTGAGCCTTGAGCTGCGAAGGCTTCCCTTGATTTAACTCATGTAACATGACTGTCCCACTCTTGGGTTGTGTCCCCATTTTCAGTGGTCACAAGGTGGCTAAAAGACTGATGGAAGGTCACCCCGACAGGCAGCAGAAGGGCTGGAGTTTAAACCCAGCTCTGTCTTTCAAGCCCAAACTCTTAACTACAGTCAGCGTGGCAATTTAAAACAAAACAAACAGAAAGCAAAGCAGGGGCTGGGGAGATGGCTTAGTCCCTTGGTCCCTTCGGAGTAAAGCAAGCATGAGGACCTGGGTCTGGATGCCTAGCACTCACGAAAAAATGCTGGGCAGCCATCTGTGACCTAGCGCTGATGGGGGAAGGGGACAACAGACGGGCAGGTAATCCCCAGGACTCTCTGGCCAGCTAGTCTAGACATTGGTGGGCTTTGAACTCTGGGAAAGACCTTCTCTCAAAAAAATAAAAACCAAAGATAGAGGAAGACACTACCTCTGACCTCCACACAGAAGCACACACAAGCATGCACGCCACACACAGAGCCTTACCATTCGCTATCCTCCCACACATAAATAAAAAATAAGAAAAAAATCAGATGAGTATTTTTTTGGGCACAAATTCTATTTGTGAAGATTCTGCGAAAAGGAGGGATTTCGCAATGGGGACCAGAGAGCAGGCAGATCCGACCTCTAACAACACTGGAAGGGAGACAAAACTTCATCCTTCCCTGCTGTCCTTGGACCTTCTGCCTTCTTCCAGGAGATCCACGCTAATCTCCACTTAGAACAATGGTTCTCAGACTGCAGGTCGAGACCTCTTTAGCGTCAAATGACTCTTTCATAGGGGTCACCTAGAACCACCCGAGAACACAGATTCATTACGACTCATAACAGTAGCAGAATTACAGCTATGAAGCAGCAATGAAAATAATTTTATGTCTGGGGGCCACAACAGGAGAGATTCTACTAAAGGGGCACAGCGTTAGGAAGGTTGAGAACTACAGACCTAGAGACAACACCCTAGCGTCCGGGCTACCCAGAGGGCGTGGCAGCTGCTGGGGCCACTCTGTTCCTCCCTCGGTTCCCACTCCCTCTCTTGTCTGTCTCACACAAAAACCTTGTAGACTCCCCACGAGCCAGTTCCAGACATTGATTTAATATGCCGGACTGTGAGTGGGGACGCCAGCCAAACTTGGAAAATTCAGAAAATGAGAAGCAGAGGGTCACGGGAGCCCAGGTGGGCAGTTGTGAGAGAGCCAGTATGCAGGTGTGGGATGCAGATTTGAATCTCAAAGACTTCGTTAAATAGGTGGGTGTGCTATTTGACCTCTCAGCGCGTCAATTTCTCCTCGTACAATTGGGAAAAAAACACTAGCATATGTCTCATAGAGTTGATAAAATCAACACATTTAGGTGCAAGCTGTGACTTGGGGAGCAGGTAGGACAGAGGACGTTAAATTTTCCTTGATGTCTCCATAAAACCTGAGGAGGTCATTCATGAGGCCTCTAGACACCTCTGCTGGCTCGGAGAGTACCGGGTCTGGGATCCAGGAGGCTTCGGGCAGGTAGAGAGAAGCCCAGCACTGAGACACCCACCACAGTTACTGAGTGGCCACTGAAGTTGGAGACCGGAGGTGAACGCAGAGAGGCTTCCCTGGCCACCTTTCCCTAGCTTCCTGCGTCCCCGGGGAGTGCCGGTGGCTGAAGAAGTCCCCTAGAGCTTCAGCAGCCGGGCTTCTTCCGCAGAGCCCGTCTCTAGGTCAGGATGCTGGGGGGGAGGGGAAATGCTGCACCTCCGGGACCGGCGCGCGCTCTGGCCACCTCGGCCCTTCTAGCAGGCGCCTCGCCTGTGGCCTGCGGTCAGTGTGAACTGCAGGGCGTGGGCCGGCAGGTCTGGCTGTGCCTGACGGGGGTTGGGAGCGGGAGGAATCTCGCACAACGTGGCCCAGAGTAGCTGGGAGACAGGGACCTGCTGGGCTGCAGGAGTCCCCAGCCTCTCCTGGCGGCGCGCGCACCGCGCCGGAGGACACCAGGCCCGCGTCCCAGACTGTCGCCGCTCAGGTACGTGTTCCCGCGAGCCAAGTCCCTTCCTTTTGCCGCGGTCGTGGGTAGCTAGCTTGTCGGGGCCGGGAGAAGCGCGTGGGGGTTCCGCGGCTGGGTTTGGGGTCCTGCTCTGGAGCGCAAGGTCGGGGGTGCAACCGCTGCCTGTGCTCGCCGGGGTGGGCGGGCGGGCGGTAGATGCGGGAGCGGCCGTGCGCAGACGCCTGTGCACCGCAGAGGCGGGCACACCCCCGAACAGCACCGTGTGCGCGCGGTGGACCCGCACAACTGACCGTGACCGAAGCCACCGAGATGCCTGCCCCGGGGCGCTGGCGCCTCCCGGTCCCTCTCCTGGGTCCCGTGGCTCCTTATGCGGTCGTCACCAGGTTTAGCAGCCGCCCCCGCGGCTGGCTCCATGGCCACCTAGTAATTTTATTTTTTCACCCTCAAAAAAGTATGAGACCTCTAACCCTTCATTTCCCCATCCCTGGTGATCTAAAGATTGCACTGGGGTCTTTTTCTTTTCTTTCCTAGTCTAGTCTTCATGGCACTTCCGGCAGGCTCCGGTCACACCTGAGACCCAAACAGTTCCCTTGTCCTTCCTTACCTTCCACTCCGGGAGGGGAAAGCTGTCCCGCCACCAGTCAGCAGGAGCAGTACCAGCACGTGCTGGTCTGAACCCCTAAATCCCCTCTGAGAATCAGATGGCCCAGAGAGAAAGCTGTGTCCCCAGGTCTGGGTGGACAAAAGTGCAACAAGCGCTAAGGGAAACCAGCCTTCCGGGGCTCAGACCCGGGTAAAATGGGCACTGTCTTGGTGCCAGTGTGCCAGAATGGCTTAGGGGATGTCTCGCTGCGAGAGGAGAAGGATACCTGTGGGTGGACGAATCAATTCTAGAGCTTAATGAGGTGACATGGGGCAGTCGATTGCTCTCCCATCTGACACACATCTGGGACAATAGACAAGGAAATGACTTGTTTCATCCCTCCTGCCTCTACCTCTCCACCCAGAGGAGAGTGTCCGAGAGGGAGACGGGGGCGATTCCCGGGCTCAGAGGGCAAGCGGAGCAGGCTATGTATGGTCTGCTTGGAGTTGCCTGCCCAACTCCAGAACTTCATGGCTCATTCAGAGCTACTTCCGTTCCTTAGAGTTTTGGGCTCCTCCTCCTCCTCTTTATTTTTCTTCTTCGCCCTTTATCTCCTACCTGCTCCGCAGTCGGCTACATGCATTCAACACGCTTCCCCAGTGCAAACGCCCTCGTCTCAAGCTTCAGTGGGCCCTTCTCGGAAAGGGGCCTGCCACCACCCTTCAACGAGCAAAGCTCTCACCTCCACAGGGCGGGGGCCAGCTCTGAGAATCCCTCTCTCTGCTGAACCTTCCCATTGAGATGCACAGTGTAGGAAGAGATTTATCCAACAGGGGCTAGAGTCAGACAATTAAACTGGCATCTCCAGGGCCTTAACATCCGAATTTCTGTTTCAGCTAGCTGACCTCAATCAATGTACTTTCCCTTTCTGAACCTAATCTTGCAGGGAAATAAAGATGATAATACCCACCTGACAGAGTCAATAAAATAAAAATAAAAATTAAGTAAGCATTCGAATGAACCCAGTACGTGGTAGACCCTGGTGACACTAATGCTCCTGTTCGCAGCTGCAGCAGAGCAAACCGCTTAAAACGGATGAGCTCAGCCAGGAACAGCCATGGCTTCGGAGGGTGGGAGAGTCTTCTTTAAAGGGTGTGGCCCACGGTAAGGCCACCTATCCTCAGTAGGTGGCCCCACACCTCGGAGTATGTGGGCAGTACAAATGAAATTCAATGGGTGATTAAAAAACAACAACAGCGAGAGAACAAGAAGTTGGGGGAGAGATAGGTAGGTGGGGTGGATTTGGGGGGAGTTGGGGGAAAGAGCAGAAATGAATGTAATCAAAATACATTGTATGAAATTCTCAAAGAACTGATAAGAGGCTCGGGTGACCTCTGCTTGTCGATCAGCTGGCTGGCCCGTCGGCAGGCAACTGGATCGCACATTTGTATAACAAGAGTCTGGTGGCAGCTGTCAACCGGGAGTTCACCTGGGGCCTTGTGGGGGAGGGGGGCTGCTGAGCACCTTCCCGCTCAGCACTTAAATTTCAACAGCAACTATCTGCGGAGTGGGGAGTGGGGGCGGTCCGTTCCTTTAGGCTGGCCTCAGAAGCTGGAACAGTATTGCTTCCACCTGATTCTACTGGCAGGCGACCACAGAGCCCACCAGGATCCAGGGGGGGGCTCCTACTCCCTGCAAGACGGGTATCAAATAGATGGCAGACATCTTAGAGTCAGCACAAGATGGATGAGTCTCCCTTCCCTTCGTGTCTCCTCCTTCTTCCCCACCCCCGCCCTTCTGTCTTTTCACTGTCTGATGTAGCCCAGGCTGGCCTCAAACTAGCTGTGTAATCGAGGATAACTGTGGGCTTCCTGTCTTTGTCTTCCCAGCACTGCAGTGCTAAGGATCGAACCCAGGGCTTTGCACATGCTGGACAAGAGCTGTCTGCTACCTGAGTCAGATCTCCAGCCTCTCTTCCTGACTCCCTCCCTCCCTTCCTTCTGGGTGCCATGAGTTAATTCACCTTGGGCAAAGATGAAGGGTTTCTTCCAGGTGAGGACCAGCAGTGACGCACAAGTCCATTATTAGAGACAGTGTCTCCAGTCCTGAGTCAGGGCTGAGGGCATAGGCATCCTGCTTGGTAGTTTTCCCAGCGTCAGTTTCCCAGGAAATCTCTAAGGCAACAGTCCCCACCTCTGGCAACCTCATGCCTTCAAAACCAAGAGGGAAAAGCTAGAGAAAGAGTCATCTGGATTTAGGGAGAGAGAATTTAGCAGGTGGCCCTGGGTCAGGTGTCATGGGCATCTTCGCGGCTCCCAGTCCCGGGAGAAGTCTGTTTGCTTTCAGGAGAAAATCTGCCGCCTGTGCTTGGAGGACAGTTGTACATCATTGGATCATTAATTGATGGGATGGAGGGCTCAGGGTGGGTAGGCAGGAAGTGCAGGGGGAGAGTGCAGCAGACTTGGGTTGCTATAGCAACCTAAAGGCCTGGGGTTACTCTAGCAGGAGAAGGCTGCCTCAGACAGCTTCCACCTCCTGAGTCCACAGACCCGCCTGGGTTGAGCTGCAAGCTTCTGTTGAGTTGCATATTCACCCAGAGCCAACTACCCACACCTTCAGAATAAAACTTCACTCTCTTCCTGTTCTCTCAGCCACAGACTGTCTGTCTCCCCCAGTCTGTTAGCTTCAGTTTCTGCCACGCCAGACTTCAGGCAGGCTACAGAAGAAGTGCGTGGACTCACTTATTTGATTCAACACTGGATGCACGTTAGTGCACGTTTTTCCTTGGTAGGAGACGAAGCAGACCCAGGTCCTTTGTCACAGAGGGCGCTGTCCGAAGGCTGAGGTGAGAGGCTGAAAATATATCTCAGACGACTGAGGTCTAGCATGCAAGGGGTTGTGGTATCGGACCCCAGCAACACAAAACAGAACAAAAGGAGGATTCGGGCATCCGGAAGTCACCACGCACAGTCCCGTGGCAGACACGGGCAGTCATTAAAATGTATTGAACTTGGCCTTCAGCATGGGTCCCACCACCCCTTGCCAGCAGTGTGCCCCTAGGTCTCGCTTTGGTGGCAGAGCTGGGACGATCGTGTCTTCCCCACAGGGTTGCAGCTGTGAAGAATCCAGCATCTTGCACATGTTAGAAGCTAAAGGAGTCAAAGTACCCATCCCGTGTACCCTCCCTTAGCACTAGCCGGTCGCTGGAACTCTCAGCCACACCTCTTTCTGCGTGAGAGCCCTGGCCCAGCTCTCATGGTCACAATGAGAGAACAGGCTCACCTTTTAGAATCACAGGTCAGCCAGGGAAGGACAAAGAAGTCTCAGAGAAGGATGGAGGGGATGGTGAAGAGTGAAGGAGAGGTTGGCTTGCCTTCTGAGCTCGGGGAGGCCTGTGTAGAGGAGCTGATGTTACAGCTGAGTCAGGAAATTTAGGTGTGAGTCATAACCACCCAGAGCGATTGCTGAAGACACAGCCTCCCAGATTTCATCCCTTAAAGATTGTGTGTGTGTGTGTGTGTGTGTGTGTGTGTGTGTGTGTGTGTCCATAGGTCAGGGAAGGGCATCAGAACTCTGGAGCTGGAGTTACAGGTTGTGAGGAACAAAGACTCCCTATATTAACCCAAAGCATTGAAAGCGAGGCGGCTTGTATTACAGCCTTGCCAACGCTGGCCACCAACCCAAAGAAGTGAGTGGCCAGTACACCAATAAAGGGCAGAGAACAGGGTTAATAAATAACCTGAGCCTCTTCCTCACTGTCCTCGAATGGCTGAGTAATGGGGGGTGGCGGGGAAGGTCTACCATGACGCCTGTCACTTATGCTTCACTCACCGTGAACCATGAGTGGATTTATCTCGACATTTTACATCCTGCTTTTCTTTTAGCTTTTCAGGGACGTGGCCTCTGCAGGTCATGATGAAAACTTGGCTGTTCATAATTTTCTGCTCTAAATGTCTAGTTTGGGTAAGGGTAGCTAGACCAGCAGGCCTTTGCGGGGACCGGAGCTTCATTTGTTGCCGGGCCTCGAGGTAGATTTATTTTGAAAATGGACCGTTATTTTCTTGCATAGATATTTGTGGATACCCAGCTTTCACTGTCATTGTTATTTGTTTATTTTTGATTAAAAATATTTATTTTTATTTTATGTGTATAGTTGCTTTGCCTACATGTATGTGGGCACAGCACTGGTGTGTCTGGTGCACTTGGAGGCCAGACAAGGGTGTCAGATTCCCTGAAACTGGAGTTACAGATGGCTGTAGGAACCGAATCTGGGTCCTCTGGGAGAGCAGCATTTGCTCTTAAGTGCTGAGTCGTCTCTCCAAGGGCCCAGGGTTGTTTTTGTTTGTTTGGTTGGTTGGTTTTTGTTGTTGTTGTGTTCTGAGATGGGGTTTCATTATGTCCACTGTAAGCAGGTGGCTTCGGACTCACAGAGATC